TATTATATATATTATATATATTATATTATATATATTATATATATATTATATATATTATACAGATTATGTATGTATTGTGTATACTATGTACATATTATATATACATTATATATAAATATATATATATATTATAGATATATTATATCTTATATACATGCTATATTATAAATATATACATCACATATTATGTGTTATATATTATGTATATATGTTGTATATTTTGGATTACTTACTACGTATTAAATATTATATATTTTATGTATATATTATGTATTATATTTTACGTATTATGCATTGTTTCCTATGTATATATATATATATATGTATATATACTTGTATATATATGCATATATATATATGCATATATATAGATATTATATTATATTCAATGCTATCTATATATATGTATGCATGTGTATATTTACAAACTATATGCATATATATGTATAATATATATATAGAAAATACTATGTATATCATATATACATTATATATATATACATTATATATATATATATCTATATACATTCATATATATATACATATACATTATATATATATATATACATTAGATATATATATAAGCGAGAGCTAATAGGCGTGAGAAGCAAAGAAATTAAATTAAATTAAAATTATTAAATACTAATTAATATTAATGCATTATAATAAACATTAATTAATATTAATTGTTAAGTAATATAATATATTAATTAATATTCAATAATAAATTATCAATACTTTTAACTTCATGCAGAAGAAGACACTTGAGGACAAATGCATGCATGCATATATACATACATGCATGCATGCATGCATATATGCATGAATGCGCATCATAGCAAGCCCTGTGTGCATGCATGCACGCATATATGCATGCATGCATGCACATCCTAGCAAGCCCCGTGTTCATGCATGCATGCGCATATGTATGCATACAGGCATGCATGCACGCATGCACATCTTAGTAAGACCCGTTGCGTGTGCATGCATGCACATATGCATGCATGCATCTTAACAAGCCCTGTGTGCATGCATGCATGTGTGCATGCATGCATGCATGCAGATATTATCAAGCCCAACGAATTTGCATGCAAGTTATTAATTATGTTCGGGGTTGTAATAACTTTATTAGTTTTTTTCTTTACGTGTCTCCATCTGCATGCAAAGAGCAGCAAAAAACTTTAATTGATTTAAAATATAAAAAATAAAACAAATAAATAAATAATGCAGCTGGTTGACAGCAGCAAGCCGCTTTAAGATATAGAGGTATTGCTGCTGTATTATCTTTTTGTTTATTTGCATGCAGATAAATATATTATATATTTAATAATATTAATTCTTTAAATTAAATAAACATATTTATGCATGCATATTATTATATTATTATCTTTTTTTGATATTCTCCTTCACTTTGCATGCACTGTGCACACACAGACAGCAGCAAATAAACAAAACTAAAAATAAAAATAAAAACAATAAAACAAATAAATTAAATATATTTATTTATATACATCTAAAATAAAATAAAGTAAAACAAACTGACAAATAGAGAGCCTCAAAGACACCAGTGGACCATTGGCTGCTGTTGCTGCTGCTGTTGCTGCAGCTGCTGCTGGTGCTGCTGCTGCTGCTTGCTTTTGCTGCTGCTGCTGCTGCTGCAGCAGCAGCAAAAATAAATATTAACTAATGGGATTAGTTAAGTTAGTAAGAAGCAAATTATTTTAAATAAAAATATACAGCAAAACAATAAAAAAATTTAATGTTGTGTTGGCGTCGGCCGTGGGGGCCCCTCTTTGCTGCTGTTGCTGCTGCTGCTGTTGCTGCTGCTGCTGCTGCTGCTGCTGCTGCGGAAGCAACTCAGCTTCACCGAAGAAACTGCACAACAGATATAATAGCACACATTTAGGAAGGGCTGCGTTTATATATTTTAATCTTTAGAAGAGACAAAGACAGAAAAAACAGCTTGAAGCATATTAAGCATCGTTTATGGCGGTAGCAGCACAGAACGGCGCGGGCTAAACCCTAAACCATAAACCCTAAACCCTAAACCCTAAACCCTAAACCCTAAACCCTAAACCCTAGCTTCTTGAGCCTCAGCTTCTAGCGAGGCCTTCATCCTCCCTCTTCGTCTTTTACACAATTCGTTTGCTTCTCCACCGTTTGCTGCCCTCAAAAACCCTAAACCCTAAACCCTAAACCCTAAACCCTAAACCCTCACGATGTTTAGTCTACTTGGGGGTTTGTTAAAGGGAAGGTCGCGGCAGCCTCGCGAAGAGACGGAGGAAGGGAAGGGAGGAGACGATCCCTTCGCTGACATCCGGGGTAAACCCTAAACCCTAAACCCTAAACCCTAAACCCTAAACCCTAAACCCTAAACCCTTAGACCCTAGGTTGTGTGTCTCGTTGGTTGCAGCTGTTTGCTGATATGTATTTTTAATATCTCCCTTACCGCAGCATTTCTTGCTGCGCTTTCAACCCGTAAACCCTAAACCCTAAACCCTAAACCCTAAACCCTAAACCCTAAACGGTGTTTTGTATTCAGTTGATGTATATCTTGTACGAGGAGAGAAAAGCGAAGAAGTGCTGCAGGAGGCCTCTGTGCTGCTGCTGCCGGATTTGCTGCTGTTTAAGGGGTCCGCACCAGAAGAAGATGAGGGTTTGAGGGAGGTATTGTCGCTGCTAGCAGCAGCAAACCCCAGCAGCAGCAGCAGCAGCAGCAGCAGCAGCAGCAGCAGCAGCAGCAGCAGAGCAGCAAAAGAAGAAGCTCTTCATATCCCTGTCCTCAACATTCGAAACTACAGACAGCATAAAATTGATATGACGCAATTTTCTGTTGATCTCGATGGAGGTAAACCCTAAACCCTAAACCCTAAACCCTAAACCCTAAACCCTAAACCCTAAAGGTGCAGCCGGCAAAGGATGCCGACGTAAATAAAATTATTTTTATTATTTTCTTTTTATATATTAAAGTATATTTCTTCTGCTTGCATGCAAACAAATAAACAAATAAACAAACAAATAAACAAATAACACAGATAAACAAACAAACAATCTTGTACCACTGTTGCTGCTGCTGTTGCTGCTGCTGTTGCTTCTTTTGTTGGTGCTGCTGTTGCTGCTGCTGTTGCTTCTGCTGTTGGTGCTGCTGTTGTTGCTCCCGTTGCTGCTGCTGTTGCTTCTGCTGCTGCTGTTACTGTGGCTGTTGCTGCTGCTGTTACTGTGGCTGTTGCTGCTGCTGCTGCTGCTGCTGTTGCTGCTGCTGCTGCGTTCAGGTGTTTGTTTTGAATTGGGTTTAGTTTTTAATGAAGGTGAGGAGACAGCTTCTTTCTCGCGTTGTCTCCTTTCACATATTTGCTGCTCATTCACAACCCGTATGTCTATTTGCTGCTCGCTGCAGCAGTATGATAGGCTTGCTGCTGCTTGGATTGAAACAGCAGCAGCAGCAAACGCAGTGCTGCTGGAAAGGCCTGACTGTGATGAAGCTTATGTACTTGTATATGCAAGCAACAGCAGCAGCAGCAGCAGCAGCAGCAGCAGCAGCGGGGGAAGGGGTGGTGATGCAGCAGCAGCAAAACAGACACCAGCAATCAGTGCTGGAGACAGCAGCAGCAGCAGCAGCAGCAGCAGCAGCGCGAAGGGCAAAGCTGCAGCAAAGGAAAACAGCAGCAGCACTAAGGGGAAGCATGCGGCGAGTAGCAGCAGCAGCAGCAGCAGCAGCACGTTAGCTGCTGCAGCAGAAGAAGAGTCATCCACATCATCCGATGCTGCGGAAACAGCAGCAGCAGCATCATCAACAGCAGCAGCAGCAACAACAACAGCAGCAGCAGCAGCAAGAGACAAAGCACTCTCTATCCCTCTCTGCTACATTCGTGTTTCTCATGAAGAATTTGTATTTGCTGCTCCAGAGCAGCAGCAGCTGCAGTGGTGGGGTGTGTCTCCTCAGGGCGAGCGACGCCTCTACAGACTTTGTTTTGCTGCTGCTGCTGATTCTGCTGCTGCTGATTCTGCTGCTGCTGCAGCTGCTGATGCTGATGCTGTTGGTGGTGGTGGTTCTGCTGGTGCTGCTGCTGATGCAACGGCATCAGAAGACGCGCCGAAACAGCAGCAGCAGCAGCAGCAGCAACTGCAGCAGCAGCAGCAGCAGCAGCAGCAGCAGCAGCAGCAGCAGCAAGAAGGAATGCGTTTTCTGCAGCTTTATGCTTTAACTTTAGCTGAAGTCAGCAGCAAATGCCGCTTCTCCTTAGATGTCGATATCGAGAAACAAATTGGGTACCTCGGAGACTTCGATACAAAACCAGGCGGTACCCTAAACCCTAAACCCTAAACCCTAAACCCTAAACCCTAACTTAAACCCTAATTCTAACACTGATATAAACCCTAGTATGCCCTAATAAAGTCTAATAAACCCTTCATCTTGATACCTCGGAGACTTCCATACAAAACAAGGGGGTACTACAGTAAACCCTAAACCCTAAACCCTAAACCCTAAACCCTAGGGCGCCAGGGAGGAGCGTGTGGAATCATCGGAGTTGTGCCCTTGGACGCAACGCATTTAGGGTTTAGGGTTTAGGGTTTAGGGTTTAGGGTTTGAGTTGCAGAGGATGAAGTTGAGGGAATGCAAATAGAAGAAGCAGACAGCGACCCTTCAGATGATGAAGAGCAGTTTCCAATTGTGGCGCGGGACCCCACAAAGTAAACCCTAAACCCTAAACCCTAAACCCTAAACCCTAGACCGTAGCATATTATGTTTGAGTAGATGGATGAGACGTATAGGGGCGAATATTAAGGATTTAGGGTTTACGGTTTAAGGTTTAAGGTTTAAGGGTTTGTCTGGAATTGAGTGTCCGTTTTATGCGCGAAACCTCCAGATTAGGGTTTAGGGTTTAGGGTTTAGGGTTTAGGGTTTGTGCACAGGCATTTGCTGAGGAGCTCCCCCAACATCATGGCGAACGAAATGCTCGAAGCAGGCAGAGACAGAGCGATGGTCTTTAGAGTAGGAGGAGCCGCGCATGCACTCGGAACAAAGAGAGATATGCAAGTACTCAGGTAAACCCTAAACCCTAAACCCTAAACCCTCAGGGAAACCCTAAACCCTAAACCCTCAGGGAAACCCTAAACCCTAAATCCTAAACCCTGAGAGAAACCCTAAACCCTAAACCCTCAGGGAAACCCTAAACCCTAAATCCTAAACCCTGAGAGAAACCCTAAACCCTAAACCCTAAACCCTCAGGGAAACCCTAAACCCTAAATCCTAAACCCTGAGAGAAACCCTAAACCCTAAACCCTTAGGGAAACCCTAAACCCTAAACCCTCGGGGAAATCCTAAACCCTAAACCCTAAAATCTTGAAGACGCGAGTTTCTTCGAGTGGCTGCAGCTTTCACATGCAGAATCAACACCCACATTAACCATAAACCCTAAACCCTAAACCCTAGTTTGCTCTGTGAGTTTAGAGCTGCTAGCGAAGCCCTAAACCTCAAAATAAACCCTAAACCCTAAACCCTAAACCCTCGGGTTTGTGAGGAGTGCCTTCAGCTTTGATGAATACGGAAAGCCAAAAGTAGTGGCAACAATTGACGGAAGCAAGGTCTGCTGCTGCTGCTGCTGTTGCTGCTGCTGCTGCTGCTGCTGTTGCTGTTGTTGCTGCTGCTGTTGCTGTTGCTGTTGCTGTTGCTGTTGCTGTTGCTGTTGCTGCTGTTGTTGTTGCTGCTTGTTCCGTCAATGGCGTTGCTGCTCTTGCTGCGGAGGTTGCTGTTGCTGCTGCTGCTGTTGCTGCTGCTGCTGCTGCTGGTGTTGCTGCTGCTACGAAGATGGTTATTGTTTTATACATTGTTTGTTTTATTTATTTATTTTTACTTTTTATTTGTTGTTTTATTATTTATTTTATTATTTTATAATCTTATTATTTATTTTATAGTTTTTTTGTTTTTTTGTTTTGTCTCGTTTTATTTATTTATTTATTTTTTACTGCTTTAAATTATTTAATAATAAGTATTTATATTTATTTATTTATTTACTTGTATTATTTATTCAATCTGTTTAGTTATTTATATTTTTGTTTTAATCTCCCTCTCAACATTTATTTATTTATTTATTTACTACATTTTATATATTTGTCTGATATTTATATATTTATTAATAAATGTATATATATATATATGTATATATATATATATATATGTATATATACATACTGTGTTTTATTATATATATTTATTTATTTATTTACTTCGTTTGTCTGTCTGTCTCTCTCTCTCTCTCTCTATATATATATATATATATAAATATATATATATATATATATATGTATATATATATATTGTTTATATATTTATATATTTGTTTATTTTATTTATTTTATTTTTTGTTTGCAGCTAAATTTGGAGGGTCGGGGTGATGGAGCTGCCGATGCTCTCTTAAATTATTGCGTAAGCGCCTAACAATTGACTTTCTGCTGCTGCTGCTGCTGCTGCTGCTGTTCCTGCTCCTGCTCCTGCTCCTGCTGTTGCTTTTGCTGCTTCTGGTGGTGGTGGTGGTGCTGCTGCTGCTGCTGCTGGGTTTGCTGTTGCTTTTGACGTGCCTGCTGTTGCTGCTGCTTTTGATGTTGCTGTTGCTGTTGCTGCTGCTGCTGCTGCTGCTACAGTAGGCGCTCTCTGCTGGTGTTGCTGTTGTTGCTGTTGCTGCTGCTGTTGCTGCTGCTGCACTTCTCTCTCTTTTTCTTTTTTTTTGTTTCTGCTGCTCCTCCCGTTTGTGCTGCTGCTGTTGGTTGTTTTGTAGTTTGCTCGGGCGGGTGCTATATATTATCTATCCATTAGGGTTTAGGGTTTAGGGTTTAGGGTTTAGGGTTTGTGGGGTACAGGAGGAGCGCCTGGTGCTGCTGCCCGGAGGAGAGAGCGGCGGTTCTTCGTCTGCAGTTTTATTTAATTTGGAGACAGAGCAAATTATTCAAACCATCAATTCAGACCTCAAAGTATGCAGGGTTTAGGGTTTAGGGTTTAGGGTTTAGGGTTTAGGGTTTAGGGTTTGGGGTCGCTGCTGCACTGTCTACTTCCATGTTTGGTGGGCATTGCTTCTGCTGGTACTCCTGCTGCTGCTGCTGCTGCTGCTGTTGCTGCTGCTGCATTTGCTGCTCATGCATGTGCTGCTTTATTTGGTGCTGCTGGATTTCTTTCTGCTGCTGCTGTATTTGCTGCTGCTGCTGCTGCTGCATTTGCTGCTGGTGTTGCTGCTGCATTTTCTGCTGCTGCATTTGCTGCTGCGTTTGTTGCTGCATTTTAATTTGCTGCTGCTGCTGCTGCTGCTGCTGGATTTGCTGCTGCGCAGATGCAGCGGCTGCTGCCTTTGACTTTAGAGTCTCGGAGTACAGCTGAAAATAAATTTTTAGCTATGAACGAGAAGTCTTTCTTCTGTTTAGACCCCCGGACAAAAAATAATAATAATAATAATAATAATAATAATAATAATAATAATAATAATAATAATAATGCGAGGAGGCAGACTTATACGTATACGCAAAACCAGTTCTTTTCATGCGGAGGTAAACCAAACCCTAAACCCTAAACCCTAAACCCTAAACCCTAAACCCTAGGGTTAAGGAGGGAAGAAGAAGTATCTAGCGACATAAACCCTAAACCCTAAACCCCTAAAGAAACCCTAACCCCTCATATCTATATTACATAGCCATCAGCATCAATCGATGTAGAATCCTCCTCGGCTCAGGGTTTAGGGTTTAGGGTTTAGGGTTTAGGGTTTAGGGTTTGTGCAGCAACCGACGGAGAGGGACATCTGGTGTTGGGCAGCAGCAAAGGCATTCTCCGATTGTACGACGGCAAATCTAAGAACGAAAACAACTTTAAAAGAGCAAAGACGCAAATAAATGCATTTAGAGACCCTATTAAACATGTAGCTGTGACGAGAGACGGAAGCTG